ACAAGAACCACAAGTGCTCAAGGATGGAGTTTGCTCTCTCTTGCTCATGGATCTCTCAACCTAACTCTTTAGATTTCACAAGAATCAAACAAACCTCACAAAGAGGGAGAGGGGAGAGTTTCTTTAGCCTATGTGTGTGTTCTTTGCAGTGGAGGAGCTTTTTTCAAAGTGCTAAAAACTTTGGAGAGAATGGAGAGTGGGGGGAATCAATTCCCCCACCAACCAACAAAAGTCGTTGGGCTTGAGTCAGACCCACACAGAAAATTCCAATAAGGGGACTAGAAATTCGAGCCTTTTTTAGAACAAAAGCCCAACCCCAAGAACATGAATTAACTAGAATTTCCAAGGACCAAAAAATTCTAGTCCCTAGACTAGAAATTCTGGTTAAGCGGCTTCTAATCCACCAGAGTGACCCTACTCGAAAATTAGAGTTAGGATATATCCAAATTTCCTTCCATGCCTAGAATTTCTAGGATAGCTCAATTAAAACGAACATAACTTTTCACCTCGAACTCCAATTTTGATGATCTTGGATTTTCTGGAAATTTTATTCAGAGACTATCGATCCCAACTAAAAACAATCTCCAAGACCACCATGTGCAAAGTGTTTATCTCAAGTTAGCATTTGGGTTTAGTTAGTTTGAGCACCAAGACTTGTCAACACACTCAATGTTGCATCCTTCTTGATAGTACATGATGCCTATACTTAATATCAAAGATAAAATCACATGAGCAGATCCTCCTTGAGCATGTGACTTGAACCATTTCCTCTTGAGATTGCAACCATGCCTCTTGAGATTGCAATAGTCTTCATATACCATTGTTCACATATTTCTTCACCAAGAGATGCAACCAACTTTGTGTCGATCATCACATGAGCAAATCCACCTTGTGCAGTGACTTGAACCATTTCCAACCATATGAGTTCACTTTATGGCATCAAGTCACTTCTTCCATAAACTCCAAGAATGATTTGATCCTCCTCACAATGTGACTTCCCATAGCTTGATTAGTGTTAAGACTCGGTGCAAATACTCTTTCCTTCACCATGGTTGTGGTCCATCGGCACCCAAAAACCATTGCTTACCCTTCACTCTTGCTTGGTCCTTTCAAGCCCTGTCCTTGTTATCTTCACCATCTCAAGCCATCCCAAGACATATGCTGATTTGAATCAACAATAAGCATACATTGAAATCTTTTTCAAGAAATCCATCTCCATCTTCATTGATTTCCCAAGCAAGCTCTACAAGTGAGACCATTCCATATGCATAACGTCATGTCTTAGTTACCCTTCACAATTATGCTTGCCTTCTCATGATGCAATGATATTCCATAACGTATAGACCATGCCAACACAGTGAGACTATTTTATTTGCATAAGAATATATCACTTCAACAATATACATTATGGCTTGCCATTTCATCACAATACCACTCATATGGAATATCCTGCTTGTTTGCCATCAATTGAGCCTTTGACACTTAATGATTCATCCAACAAAGCATATCACAAGTGTATACAATATGCTCAATTCCCTGCTCAATACTTAGTAGGCATATTAGACCTTTGATCATGTTGTCATTCAATCTACCAAAACTCATTTAAGGGCTAGATGCACTTATAGATGCGGGATCTATATATACACTTGTAAAGCAAGGTGGCGTGACAACTTGTCGTGCTGAATATAGTGGCACGACAAGGTAGGACCCATAGGTTGGCCACAAAGACGCAGGTACCCGTGAGGTGCCATGGTCATGGTCCTTGTCACGTCTGTGCATGTAGCATGATAATAGCTTCTTGTCATAGGCACACTGGGGCGACCAAAGAGACTAGACCCTAAAAGCATAGAGTTAATTTTAAAATATTAATTAAAAGGTGTTTTGAATAAAAATCTAAGATATGCACACACAGTGACAACATAAATACAATGCAACATCACAAGAGACGGAGGTTGGAGCAAGTGAATGATTAATTATTTATTTAATTAAGGCCTTGCTATTTTTGATAGGTTAACTAGAGCGTCCTCTTGAAATAGTTTTACTAATTCGAGACCAAACATACTCTCTCTTTCCCATAATAGGAGCCATCTAGCCTTTAAGATTGTCCTAAATTATTCATTATTCTTAATTCCTAATATATCTATCTCTATCTCTATATCTCTCTTTCTTGTTTCTTGTACACTACTCCCCCTTTTCATTTCTCCCTAATTCTTGTTGATGAGACCATGCCAAGGACAACAACATCCACCATTAGTTCTAAAGCATCCATTCAAGGTCAAAGCTAAACTTGATTCCAAACCCATTTGGTTTCTACCTGCAAGACTACTACTTGGTTTATATGATTATAGATTCAAACACCTTATTGTTATGGAAGAAGAAGATCGTGATGTTATCACAATACTGCGAGCCGATGGCCTAGCATAATTCTTTGGGTCAGAAGAGTACAGGTTGAGGATGACTCCTTTTCAAGAGGGGGAGGATGATGAGGACATCCCACCTCATCATGTGTTGGAACATGAAGAGCATTCACCGTCTAACACAAGTGAACATAATCATGGTCCACTTACACGGAGCCATGCCAAGAAACTACAGGAACATGTGAATTCATTCCTAACTGATTGTCATTTCACCATATCTAAGGATGGTATACTACCTAATTGTTCTACATTGATGTTGCTTAGGTTCACTCATGAAGAGGAGCAGGCCACAAACATGGAGAACAAGTGCAATGATCTATGACAAGGTGCAAACAACAAGTGCTCATGTTCGGACCAGCACAAAGAAATAGTCATAACTCTTGATTCCCAAAGGCTATAGGGGTCAACAAAGATTTGATGGAAAGCTTATCAAGAGTTATGACCATATTAGTAGAAACTACCCAGAAGACTAACCGTCACCTAGGGATTGATGTGATGGAGAACTTTTTGTGCAAACCAGTATCATTATGCCACATTTCACAGTGCATACTATACATGGTTGGAAATATAATCAAGTTAAGTTTCCAATGCAACAAGTGGCTCGTCGTTTTGACTTCCCATGATGGAGTTATGGCTACATTACTGAAGATTGCGCAGAAGGGAAACATTCGCGCGAGACTCCACGGATTTCCATCTCGTGGAGGCCTTTCACCTCCTATAACTTTAGAAACTCTAAGTCCATTTCATACCTAACTAGGAGGGTTGTTCCTAGTATAAAAATCCCTTGCCTCTAAGCTATTAGAAACTTTTTGATGAATTGATAAACCCCTTGATGCTGCAGCCGAGCTGCCGAGTGTCTTACTTATACCTTTGTTCTTCCTTGTTCTTCTTGGACTTGTGAAGAGATTCCTCTGGGATCCCCTAGTTCCTGCTCTATAGTTTCCAGTAGGCTGCACCGTCTTATGTGGATTAGTTCTAGATTATGGTTCTGTTGTCGTTCGGAGAGCGAGTCGAAGTCTTCTCGGTTTCGGTGCCTCTCTCCATCGCTTGGTCGCATCCAACCTTGGACATGTATAGTTATCCACTGTTTGCAGCAAGTTATCTTTAGTTCTTCGACCTACTATCGTGAAGATCGAGCCACCCTCAAGGAGGTTCTTTATCACCCGTGCTCAGGGCTAAAACAACAAATAAAGTAATCCTAAGTGGAGAGTTTCGTAGCATTATTTTCAAATGGACAAGTATTCTTAATGCATGGTTTCATTCTAGTGTTTCGTTGACATTTAATTTCGTTACTCGTAGAGTTGGAACGAGCTAACAGTGTTTTACCCCATGAAATTCAATTCTCTCTCTTCTTGAAAATGCTACCACATCATCAAAAATGCATATATGACAACCCATTAAATACAGATAAAACCCAAATGAAGCTCCCACCAAAACTAACTTAATATATGGGATGGAGGAGTAATTTTTTATTAACTGAAAGCCAAAAAGTACTAAGGGTGTGTTTGGATCTCATTCTCACGGTAAGATTCTGTATTTTAAATAGTGAACGTAGAATCTAGATTCTAAATACAAAAAGTAATTGTCTTTGTTCACATTATTATAGTGCTCATTGTCCTTGCATAGTGAAAAATATCCAAATAGTAGATTTAAGATAGATAATTGGATTATAAAATCTAAGTGTTTAAATTTTATTTCATTTATATCTCATTCTTATTTTTTAAAAGATCTGAACAGAACCTAAAACAAACGAGTTTACATAAAACTCAAAGAAAACAGCCCGGTTTAAGGCCAAAGATTAAAACAAAAGCGGTTGACAACTCTAAAAACATCTCTAAGAGTCTTTCTTAAATTTAATATCTGAATCATTACTTAGAGATCTATTTAAATAAAAACCTCTCTCTATTTCAACCATCCAACACTTTTTCTATAACTTTTGCGTATATTAAAGAACTAATTTCATTTTTTTGTTATTGACTAGCGAATAATCCAAAATAGACAATAATGATATATAACAATATTTAGAAATCTAATTAAAAACATTATTTTTATTGATTTTTATCAATATAAGGCCAGGTCTTAGACTTCTCTCCGCGACCTACTTTCTCCGTCCCAAAATAACGCAATCCTACCATTCAAATTTTTTCCATAAAAAATGCACACATGGACCACAGCTAGCATGGGACCCACCCAGAACAAAACAAGCACATGCCTTCTCGGCTTCTCTTGTAAAAAAAAGTTGCTGCACTCGAATAAAAAAATCGGCCACAACCTTCACGAACAGGCGTTGTGTGCCTTCCTATCCACTCGTTCTTGAAGTATCTTCCAGAAAGCTCCTGTACGGTAAGACAGCATGGAGAGTAGCGAGCAATCAGGACGGTAGAGGATTGTACAGTGGCTGAACTGTCATGGGGCATTTTCATAATTTCCCATCTTTTCTTGGTACCCGTGTTTGGTCCCACAGTTGTATTTTTATTGGAACGGAGGGAGTATTTCAACTGTTCACGCCTAGAAGGAGGCTAGGACCCGCCTCCCTGGATTCCTCGCCGCCGTCTACACCCGAAGTCCAAAAGTACCAAAACCATGGACTCCGCCGCTAACGACGCCGCCTCGGCAGTTCCGCCGTCTGTGGTCTCGGCTGCTGAGGAGACGCTCGCGGCTGCCGAATCCGTAGGGGACCATCTCTCCCATGTGCTCGCGGCGGCGGCGGCGGACCCCGACGCCGTGGCCGAGCTCCCGCCCCTGCTCCGGGCGCGCGCTTTCCTCGCCGTGGCGCAGGCCGCCACGTCACTCCTCGGAGGCACTGCACCTTCCACGCTTCTCCTTCTCGTTGCACAAGCTTAGGTTTTCCCCCCCCCCTGATTATCTCTTTTTGTGGGAATTTTGCAGTTCGTCTAAGGTGTTCGGGAATTGACCCTGACCAGCACCCCATCAGAAAGGAGTTTGTAAGCTCCTCTTAGCTCTAAAATCCTGGATCTTTCGAAGTGTACTTTTCGGGTGCCATTGAAGTAGGGGATTGATTTTGATGTTATTGACTAAAAACGATGGGGGTATATTTTTTTAGAGAAGAAAAAAAAAGATGGGAGTATATTTTGTAATATTGCCTGGGAGTATTGAGCATGAAGATGCAGAGGTTTGACATGGGCCTTTGAATATGCACATGGATTTACTGTAGGTTTCTTTTAGGTCAGAACAGAGCTTGTAGGTTTGTAATATCACCTTCGACATGTTGTAGTGTTTACTGCTGTTGCCATTTTTGCATAGAGGCTGTTTTTGTTTTTTTGAAAGATTTGGCAAAAGCACTGCCTTTCGATTAAGATAGGGGAAAATAGAGTTGTTTATGTACAAGCATAGAGGCTGTTTTGGAGAAGGATTTGTGTGGCTGAATAGTTTTAATTAATAATAACAGTTCTTTAATGAAGAGTTCTATGTTGATGCAGCATGAATTGAAAAAATCAGTCTTCATATTTTGACAGCTATTCTGTTCGAATTTATATGTTATAAAAAGGTTTGATATTTTGTAATCCTTGAATGAAGAGTTCTATGTAGCCACATGAATTCAATCTTCATACCTTTCCAGCATGGTTTTTAAGGTGTCGCCTGGGCATCGCTAGGCGACAAGGCGCTCGCAGGGAGTAAGGCGTCCCCGACGCCTAGCCAAAAGCAGAGGAAAACGATAGGGAGAGGCCGTGCAGCTACCTCCTCGCTCCTCCCCACCAAATCCAGCGCCGCCTGGGTCATCTGCGGCGGAGGCGGCGGTTGATCGAGATGGGGATCTGAGAGAGCAGCAGCAAGAGGTAGGGAAGGAGCGGAGGGCAGGTTGAGCGCACGCAGCCAAGAGCAGCGTGAGGGAGGGAGGGCGACGCTGTACCTGCGTGAGCCATAAGAGAGGAGATGCAGCGGCGCTCCGCCTGCGTGAAGGAGGGAGATGCAGCGGTGCTACATCTGCGTGCATCAAGCAGGGAGATGCGGCAGCGCTGCGCCTGCGTGAAGGAGGGATGCGTGCAGCTGCGCTGCATCTGCGTCCGTGAGATGAGAGATGACCTGAGAAGGGATAAGGACGCATTTGTGGGCTGCCTATTGGGCTGGGCCAAGCACTTTTCTTTACATTTGCCCTTTTCTGGTTTTTCTTTTTCCTTTTTTCTCTTTTTCTTGCCTATTCCCTGCTGGTATTTTCCTATTTCTTAGAATGGTAAGGCGTCGCCTTGCCTCACCTTATGGTCGCCTAGGCATCGCCTAGTCGACTCAAATGAGTGGCTCGCCATGTCTCGCCTTGCAGCCTTAAAAACCATGCTTTCCAGCTATTCGCCTAGTGAAGAAATGCAATATTTGATTTGTCAGCTAGTTTGGCCCTGCAGTTGGAAGTTTTATTTCCTGAGTTCTGATTCGTTTCTTTCCAGGAAAGGTTAAGCCTATGGCAGGAGAAGTTAAATCAATTTGAGGCATGGGACAAGGGTACTTTACTCTGTATTTCATGCTTATTCGTTTCTTTTTTATCTGAAATATGTAATGCTGGTACTCAGTTACTACCTGAATTGAATTGCAGCACCACTCCGCCCTACTACTACAATAAATACACAAGCAGCAGCAAGGTTTATTGGACACTCACTTTCCCATCTGACATCCGGTACATATTTGGCAGTTAAGTTTGTGTGGATTCTTGATTATTATGGCATGGAAATGAGATTTGATTTTTTTTTTATTCAGATCAGAAGAGGAGCATGCAGGAAATAAGTAGAGGAGAAAAGTGGAGTTGGTCTGGGCAGAAGAAAGCCTGAGCCTTTACCAGAAAAGAAGTCTGTCCGTGCTGCTGCAGAAGAGTTCCTTGCAAAGGCTGCTCAGGAACTTATTGGGCATAGTGATAGCATGGTCAAGGGTCCTGTTATACTCATTCCTGATGAAGATGAGGACTAGATCGGTATGTTGGTTTTGTCAATTTGTGAAATATATTTATACTGCAGATTTGTGTTTGTTGACTTCGTTCTTACTGCAAAAGTAATGCTGGATACATGCTGATGTGTACAACATTGTAACATACTCAGACATGAGGATATATATGGCATATTTGCAACAAAATCATGGTCCACGGATCTCTCTTCATAAAATAAATCACAATTCACAATCCTTGATTGTTAATATAGGTACTTTCTAGGTTATTGCAGTTTGTAGACACTTAGCATCAGAATATCTGAAATCCCACTAGCTAACACAAATCTCATCTTGCCTCATGTTTAAATAGTTCTTTCTTTTACTCTTTTATTAATGATGAAAAATGCAACTTAAGTACCTTTATTTATCTAATGGTTAAGTCTATGTTCATAATTCTACTATAAGCACACTTGGATTAACTTTTAGCTTCACAATCAATTTATGCCAGCATATTTGGTGAAACACATGCTCTATTAAACAGTTGCCTAGCTGTTACTGTGAAAGTTAAACATGGAATGATGATGTCACGCTAGATCTTAGAGTGATAATTTTATCTTTGAGTATGGCCATTTGATGGAAGGTGTGAATCATTTGATTATCCAGACAATGGCAGCTTTGCAAGTGAAAGCACATTTCATGCTGTCCTATATTTTGTGTTGTTAGCAGTACAAGATCTTTGATTATCAGAATTTGAAACTTTGGTAGACACACACGCGCAACTGGCAGGGCCATGGATGGGCCTGTGACAAGCAGTTCCTTGGATATCAGTATCTACTGGTGATTGTGGTATATACAATGCAACAATCTTTTTTGTGACCAACTGTATGTTTCATTGCACGCATTCTGCTCACAAGTGTTAGTAGATGGCACATTTGTATTGATTGGATAGGACCATGTATTGGAATGATTTTTTTGTGAATTATGTTAATTTTAGTCCACAACTTAAAATGTTGATAGCATACTTGTTTGGGTAAAGAGTTATTTATGCTGTTTTAAAAAAAAAATGTGTGCACATATCCTTTGTTGCATGGAAAAAGTCTCATTTTATGTAACATGAGTACATGACAAACAATCCTCTGCTTGCCTCCATCAATCACTGTTGCACTGCAACCATACTCTTTCTACAGGCGTCTTTTTTTTTTTGATTGCCTCAACCTTTGATACAAGTTGTAGTATCTGAACACACGCACCAAGTCACCAACTCACACCACACACCTAGATTTACAACCTATATCTAAGTCACAGCTGAGAGATATGACAGTTGTGGTCCATCCGTGCGAGGCATCCACCATCCTGAAAATAATTGCAGAAAAACCCCGGTGGGAGACGTGAGACGAGCAAGTCTCGAACTCACGACCGGCTGCTCCTCCACTGGAGCACTTTGCCGTCCGAGAACCCTGGCTGGGAGCTGGGAGAGGTGTCCAACTACAGGTGCAAATAAACCATTTTACCTTTCAGGGGAAAGGAAACAAACCACTCAATAATCGGTAGAAATTCCTCCTACTGAACTGAGCCAATCTCTCTCCTTTTGTCTAGTTAGCCAGTTCTGATTGCAGCTTCCTATTTTCCTATTCTTTGTCTACTCTTTTTTTGGCCATGTATGTACTGTAGCTTGTGTTCGATTGTGGACACCTCTAACCTCTGGCTATGTTCTGTTTCCATGCAGAAAAAATGGATGCTTACCAGATTACATTCCTGATTCATCGGCTAGGCAAAGGAAGGTAGAAAGTCCTGGCAATGAAGATAAATTTACCTACGTTGCTGTGATGATGAAGATAAATTTACCTACATTGCTGTGTTGTTGTACATGGAACAGGGAATGGGGCAAAGGCTTGCTTACTTCCCCTGTTTTTGGAGCAACTTTTCTCGAATTTTGAGTGCAGTTTATCTGAGTTTCTTTCCAGAAAGAATTTGACATCCTATCCTATTTGTTAGTGGAGCTGGAGAAACAATCCCGTTCGGCTGTACTACTTTCAGTTTGTCTCAGCTTATTCTCTCTCACAGAACGCTATTGAATCATCCAAAATAATCTAAAATCTACTGTGCAACCCGTCAGCCGAACACGCCCTGTGCTAGAGTACCCCTAATAATGAGTACTATCTATATATTCGAATGACAACAAGATTTGTGACCTCCAGCAATTCGGGGTACTGAAGCCTGTACTAGTCGGTGTATTAATGATGATGGCCGAACCTCTCTGGCAAGTTTTGTTATGGCCCTTAAGAACTGGCTTTTGGAATTAGTAGAAAGTTGTTTTTAGTAGCTTTTGGAGATGCTCGAGCACAAAGAACGTCAAGGCAGAACGCAGAACGATTGCAATTAAAGCGGCATGTCAACCCGAGAAGAACCGAAACGTCCGGCCATGTTTGACTCGCTATGATGATGGTACAGTGCCCCACCAGTACTCGACATGCCTCGTATGGTTTCACGGCTCTGCCATCTCAGGAGAATACTCGGCAACCGATTATTTTTCTAAGTTGTCTCATAAAATTCTCTATTCCCAAAATTTGTAACTAGAATAAATAAATTTATGAGTCGTATAACAATTATAACTTGTAAAATGGTAAACAAGCGCGAAACAATAATATTTTGTTCTCTTACCTTATAGCATCATAAAAACTTTATATATGGCATTTGCATGAAACGATGTATGAAATAGCTTTTCTTAGTGCAATATTTGTCTAAAACTTGGGCTTACCGATTTTAAAATTATATATGGTAATTTGCAGCGGCGGATCCAGGAAAAATTTTAGGAGACTGAACAACACATACCTCCGAATCTGCTCGATCTTAAGTCTCAGCCCCACTTACACTATAGAACTTTTTCTAAAAAATTCATGGGGCTGCAGAGGGTTTCACTACTCCGGTAAGGGGGCACCGTTGGATCCGCCCCTGGTAATTTGTACCCGTACTTTAAAAAAAAATTCTGATGCAGACCAAACAACGAGCAGAGACAAAGACACCCACTCTCACATGATGCTTTTCCTGCTGTATAGAATCGTTGTGGAAATTCTCCTTTCGCATTCATCACAAGTCCAAAATCATGCAGGTTGAAGGCGACGGGCAGGCCAATAAAACAAGTCAAACCTCCTCCTCCTTAATAAAAGACATAATAAGTCATCCATCCATACGACATAAAAGCGCGAGGAGACACAAGCTAAGCATTCAGCAATGGCGAGCACACAAAGGTTGAGCCGTGTCCTCCTCTCCGACCAGGGTATCGCCATGCTCACGCTGCTGCTGGTGCTGGTGCTGCCGGCGAGCCATGCGCGCGTGTGCCCGCCGTGCGGCTCGACGGCCGTACCGTACCCGCTCAGCACGGGCGACGGCTGCGGCGACCCTGCGTACAAGGTCCGGTGCGCCGCCAACTCGTCGCTCCTGTTCGACGCGCTGAACGGCACGTCATACCCGATCACGTCCATCACCCCCGCGGCGCAGCGGCTGGTGGTCTCCCCGGCGCCTTTCGTGTCGCAGCCGCAGGGCAGCTCCCTGTGCGTGTCGGAGGGCGCGGCGGCGGGGCGCGGGGTGCAGCTGAACGCGTCGCTGCCGTTCAACGTGAGCTCGTCCAACACCATCATGCTACTCAACTGCACCAAGGACCTGCTGCTGTCGCCGCTCAACTGCTCCGCCAACTCGCTCTGCCACGTCTACGCCAACGCCACGGGGTCCACGGCGTCGGCGTGCGCGCCGCTGCCGCTCTGCTGCACCTTCGTGGCGGGGGGCTCCTCCACCTCCTACAGCATCCGGGTGTCGCCGCGGTTCTGCAGCGCGTACCGCAGCTTCGTGGGGCTCGACGCGACGCAGCCGCCGGACACGTGGGGCAGTCGCCTCGGGCTGGAGCTGCAGTGGGCGACGCCCAGGGAGCCGCTCTGCCGCACGCAGGCTGACTGCGAGGACGGCGCCAACGCCACCTGCGCCGACGACCCGCTCACGCCCTCCGGCGCCGGCGCGGTCCGCCGATGTTTCTGCGTGTCTGGGCTCACGTGGAGCCCCCTCGCCGGCGCGTGCCAGCAGAGTACGTTTTTTTTTTCGAAATCAGTCAGTAATTTCTTTTCGCTGCATGATCCTACTTTGTTTGATTTGATGCAGATCCCTCGGATTGTCAGATCGCCGGGGACTGCGGAGGATCCAACCATGCGCCTCTCATTGCAGGTAGCTGTTTCTTGCTTTCCTGTTCTTGTCGTTCAGATTGTTCAACAAATCTCGTAGCCTAAAAATTGTTCAGTTACTGCTTGACACGAATGAGTAGGTGCCGTGTCTCTTCCGATTGAATTCATTTGCGAGCCGGCTTAATGAATTCCGTGCATTGCCGATGCACGTTCGAGAAAAAAGGAATTCATTTGCGAGTCACTGGACTCCTGGTATCCCCTGACTCTCCGAGGAGAGGTCTAACCCTATTTACTTGAACTTATCAGCTGATTTATCAATCATGATGTATTATTTTTTCTCACAACAAATCTGTTTCAGCCGGCTCATCAGACGTAGAAACCTCCAGCCTTTATCAGTCGTTAGAATGAATAGTTCTTAACAGTACAGATACCTGCTTTCTCTCTTTTTCCTCCTTTCACGCGTGAAGGTACAGATACCTGCTAAAATTTCAACGACAATCCAGATTACAATTCAAGTCAACGTAGTACAAATCCCTCATATGTAAGGGTGTGTTTAGTTACCCAAAATCTAAACTTTAGCACTATGCAAAAAGAAGATTCTCCGTCACATCAAATTTACGGTATATGCATATAGTACTAAATGTTGACGAAATCAAAAACTAATTGCACAGTTTAGTTGTACTTTACGAGACGAACATTTTGAAACTAATTAGTCAACGATTGGACAATTATTACCAAATACAAACAAAAATGCTATAGTGCGCTACAGTGATTTTGCCACTGCCGATTCTGGGCAACTAAACGAGAGCTAAGGGCTTGTTTAGTTGGCAATTTTTTTGGTTTTGGATACTATAGCACTTTCGTTTGTATTTGGCAATTAGTGTTTAATTATGGACTAATTAGGTTCGAAAGTTTCGTGTCGCGATTTCTCATCCAACTATGTAATTAGTTTTTTTTTCGTCTACATTTAGTACTCCATGCATATGCCGTAAGATTCGATGTGATGGATACTGCACAAATTTTTTTAGGTTTTGGATGGAACTAAACAGACCCTAAGACACATTGGATAAAGGAGGTAGTGGTATGGTCAAGCAACCTTTTGACTCATCTAATTCAGCCGACAGTGGGTACTCTGCATTCAACCCTTTGTATTCAAATGGCATACCGGGAAAGTAGGTATACATCAGCCTCAATTTGGGCCTTTGACGCCCGGATGGTCAACTTTGGGGGGCTCATAGACCATACACATATATATATATATCCTCACAGGAAGGATAAGCTTTGACTGTTTCTCTATTTATTTAAGTATTGTTATCTTTATATCTATTGCAAAAGTTGGCGGTCGGCATTGGCAGCAGACATAACTATGAGCCTATCAGATTTAGATCAACGACTATGTCCCTATTTGTCTATAATTTTCTTTAAGAAGAAAGGGTAAGAGATTTGCCGTTAGACAATAGAAAAAACGAAAAAAAGAGAGAACAAGAGTGTTTGCCAAATCCTTAGAACCCTCCTTATAGACATAACTTAGCATAACTCTAAAGGAACAAAAGAAGAAGAAAAAAGGGACTTGGCGAGAGACCCCTGCCTATTAGTGACTGAAAACACAACTCCAAGGGTCTGCTCGCTGGTTGGTGCTGGTGCTGGTTTGGGCTGGTTGGTGCTGGTTTTTTTAGAGGAAAACACTGTTGGCTGGTTGGTTTGGGCTGGCTGAAACCAACAAGCGAACAGGCTGCAAGAAACGTAGGAAACCAAATGACTAGCCCACTAACTGAGTCTTGATTTGGGTGCATAACCAAATGAAGCTGTGGGTGTCATCTTTGCATTGCATTGCAACTTGTCTTTGTTGCAAATCCTTTTGTTGAGATCTTGTCTAATTTCGCTCTTTTCAATTGTTCCACCAAAAATAGATTATAATGCTCATGAAAATATCTTCTCTGGTTTTTGTCAAACTTGGTCGGACATTTACGGCAAAATTTATGGAGGGGACTATCATGTTCACCATGCTGAGACTAGAAAAACTAAACCACTGTTTGCCTCTATCGCACTATGTACCAATTAAGAAATCAAATTTAACATGATTAAGACAATTCTCCAATGGAATTTCACACACGGGCAGCCAAAGGCTTTTGATGAATCAACTAGAATTCCTCACCTTGAAAATTAAAGTTCAGCAATCGATTTAAATTAAATGTTCTGATGGTTTGTGATGCAATGCAGGGCTGGTGTGTGGCCTCGGCGGCACGTTGTTGGTTGCCACTGCGGGGTTGTTCGTCTACCACCGGCAGCGGCGCATCCGGCTCGCCCGAGAGAGGTTGGCCAAGGAGCGCGAGGAGATCCTGAACGCCAACAACACGAGCGGGCGCACCGCCAAGAACTTCTCCGGTCGCGAGCTGAAGCGCGCCACGGGCAACTTCTCCCGCGACAACCTCCTTGGCACCGGTGGCTACGGCGAGGTCTACAAGGGCGTGCTCGGCGACGGCACGGTCGTGGCCGTCAAGTGCGCTAAGCTCGGCAACACCAAATCCACGGACCAGGTCCTGAACGAGGTGCGCGTGCTGTCGCAGGTGAACCACCGCAGCCTGGTGCGCTTGCTCGGCTGCTGCGTCGACCTGGAGCAGCCGCTGATGGTGTACGAGTTCATCCCCAACGGCACCCTCGCCGACCACCTGTACGGTTCCATGAGCCGCCCACCGCTCCGGTGGCGCCAGCGCCTGGCCATCGCGCGCCAGACGGCGGAGGGCATCGCGTACCTGCACTTCGCGGCCTCGCCGCCCATCTACCACCGCGACATCAAGTCGAGCAACATCCTCCTGGACGACCGGCTCGACGGCAAGGTCTCTGACTTCGGTCTGTCCCGGCTGGCGGAGCCAGGGCTGAGCCACGTCTCCACCTGCGCGCAGGGGACGCTGGGGTACCTGGACCCGGAGTACTACCGCAACTACCAGCTCACGGACAAGAGCGACGTCTACAGCTTCGGCGTCGTGCTCCTCGAGCTGCTCACGTCCAAGCGCGCCATTGACTTCGGCCGTGGCGCCGACGATGTCAACCTCGCCGTGCACGTGCAGCGGGTGGCGGACGAGGAGAGGCTCATGGACGTCGTGGACCCGGCGATCAAGGAGGGCGCCACGCAGCTCGAGCTCGACACCATGAAGGCGCTCGGGTTTCTAGCGCTGGGATGCCTCGAGGAGCGCCGGCAGAACCGGCCATCCATGAAGGAAGTCGCAGAGGAGATTGAGTACATCATCAACATCGAGGCTGGTGGCCATCCCATCGAGCAGCAGCTAGCGTAGCGAATGATCCATGGCTGACTATATGTCTAGACTAGCGAGTGAAAGTATGAATGTCATCGAAAAATCAAGAAAGGTGCGGCCGTAATAACAAAGGGCCGTTTAGGCCGGTATCAGTTAATTGTTTCACGTCGTTGTTTCCAAGACTGATACTCAATGAAATGAAACTTAGACTTTTAATGCAAATTTTATTCTATAACTCATATAGAGTTGGTAGCCGTGTAAAGAGAGTTTTATCTAGATGAATTTTTTTCTCTTCTTAAATACACATAAAAAATGACTACATGACAACCTATTTATATGGCGTGTCTGGGACTACTCCACGAACTCTACTCTACAAACTCCACCAGTGAAGCAGCTCCACTGTAAATGCAATGAAACTCATATGAAACTTTCCACTGAGACTAGCTATAGGTGACTCGGTGCGCGAGATTAAAAATAAGGACTCATGTTCTATAAAGTCGCTTCTAAAACTAGGTTTTAGCGTCGTTTAGATGCAGGATAGCTTTTTTAGAGTTTTAGAAAAATAGCATTATTTTATGAAATACTTTGGTTTTAAAGTGCCATGAAGTGTTTAAAGGCAACAAATTTTATGATTTCGAAAACCAAGATATTTCTAAAACTAGTCTCTTTGGAGTTTTATAGACTCCACTCTACTTGTCTTTTTTTTCTTCTAAACCATGGCTTTGCACATCTAGTGTTCTAAACTCCAGATTATTAACACTACGTTTGTAATGCTATAAGATATTAATATCCAATAAATATGGCCTTCTTTGTTAATTATAATAACTGTGAAACAATTATGCTAAAAGGAATATCATCATAGGACTGTTAATTGCTCATAACACAGACCCTATTATTTTGGAATTTGAGGAAGTATCTTCTACGTGAAACCATCGTCTTGTTCCTTGCAGATAATCTTTGATTTCATCTTTATATGCTTTCTCTATTGAAATGGACTGTGACGTCTAATGAAAAGGGTGAATTAGGCAACTTAAAAATATATTTCTAAACTATAGCCTCTAATTTACTCATAAGCAAAACCTATGCAAAGATAAGCTATCTAGATGTGCAACTAAGATTTTGCTAGGTCTGTTGCTATCTCTATCGCAAAAAAAGTTATGCAACCAAGGTTCCAATTCAATCAACTAGCCTATCAACTAAGCTTAGAAGGTAAAACACACAACCAAGCAGGTACACAATGTAAAATGCGAAATATAAAAGGCGATAGAGATGCGAACGCCTATTCAACGCTGACGGTATTTTTACCGAGGTATCGAGAAGCGCACAAGCTTCTCCTGGTCCTAGTTGGATCCCCTCACAAGGATGTCCTCGCAAGGGTCAAGCTCCCGATCGAGTAACTCCGTGGATAGCCCCGGACCTCCCCCACGTGCAAGTGGGCCTCCGGAATAGCCTCTCTCAGACCGCTTCCTGTTGTCCTCACTATCGAGCTTCCGACTAAAATACCGTGGGCCTCGTTCCCTCCGGTACATGGTGGCGCCCACACCACAAACATGCGGTGTTGGTATTTGTTAACGCACATAGAAAAATCTGCAAGCGCATGAATATCGCTGTAGCTTTCACCCAAGAGTATTCCAAGGTATCGTATTTATGCACAGAGAAATAATGGTTAAAGAAGTTGATAGTTCACCATCATGTATCTACTAACTAGTATACCAACTAGATTAAAGTGAGGGTAAGTGATGATAACAATAAGAGTTATGAATAATAACACACACATTGGAGAATTCCATGATAAAATAAATGAGCAGTCTAGCTAAATTGAGAGGACAATGGGTGAGTTCAAGGTTCCTAAATATTTCTCTATTACTTTGGTTCTATTCTAGTTTAGATGAGAGGGTATAGGGTAGATATAGCGATCACACACAATAACACTTTGGAGCAGCAGTACATTTCCGACCCTCGAGGGGGTGAGAAAGCGTGGTCGGGGGAAGGCTACCTAAAGCTCTACGAACACCAATCCAAACGTGGTGGATTACAAAGGCCTGATAGAGTTGTCACCTCTAGGGCTACTGTTGACACCAGAAGTGACAAACAGGGTAAACCGTAAGCGTATGGTTGTTAATGTAGCCTTCATCAGGGTATCATCGAGCGAAGTGCTACATGATAGTTCTGTGCGCTTGCGGAATCCCATCTTATAGACATAAGAAGTATCAACAAGCGTGCATTTCTAGCGCCATTGTTGTAGAAGGTAACTAGCATAAGATTGCATTCGATCGAGAGATCTGCTGACTAGGCTTTTAGCCATCCTTTAGCAGTCTTCCAATCCCGTTTTCCCTCAAAACTTACTACCACCCAGCATGGTTATGGCCAACAAGACCATCCATGAGTTCTCTGCACCCTCCACTGCTAACGTGGCCATAGGCCCCAATGTTATCAATGGGGATGCTAACTTTGAGCTTAAGCCAGCGTTAATCACGATGGTGCAAGCTAATCCTTTTGTGGGAAAGCCCACGAGGATGCTAATGCGCATCTGCAACACTTTTTGGAGATATGCATCACCTTTACCATCAAGGGAGTGACCCAAGAGGCCATACGCCTTTGACTTTTCCCCTTCGCTTTGTTGGGAAAAGCGATGCAATGGTTCTACTCTAACCGCAACGCTGTAGACACCTGGGATAAGTGTTTTAACGCTTTCCTAGTTAAGTTCTTCCCAATGGGTAAGACCAATGCTCTTCACAACAAGATCTCTAGTTTTCAACAACTAGCTGATGAATCAATTCCCGAAGCCTAGGAACGAATGCAAGAGTATGTCTCTGCATGCCTGCATGAAAGCCCTAGTTTGGTTTTGGTTAATTAATGAAATCTATTGGACTAATCCTTGATCTAAGTGTGTAGGAAAGATAGGATGGTCCAAGGCCAAGTGATGGAGCAAGATGAAGTCCATGGTGATGAAGGTGGACATGTGATGATGATCAAGCTCCAATTTGGAAAAGAAGAAAGAGAAAAACAAAAATGGGCTCATGGCAAAGGTAAATTTGATAGGGACATTTTTGTTTCACCATAGAGGGTGTGAGTGGGTTTAGGATAGATAGTCATACTATTAAGAGGGGATAATCATGGTTAAAATGGTTGTCAAGTGCCACTAGGTGAAATGATTCATGCATATGCATTAGGACCTAGTGTGCTAACTTTTAACCCTTGAAAAATGCTTTGAAACATGCTAACACACGTGCATAATGGTGATACACTTGGTGTTTAGCACTTGGGAGCAAGGGTGAAGAGATAGAAGTTGAAAAGGAGGTGAAGAGAGGGACCAGACCCTGAGTCTCGGTTGGACCGGACCTAGGAGGGCAGAGTCCGGTCACTAACCCTAGGTCTCAGCTAGACCTGCTGGCCGGACAGGAGCCGATGTTGGAACGTGACCAGACTCAGTTCGCAAAATCCAGTTGAAGGCCGTGTTTGCGAGGAGGCGACGTGGCCTGATGAGATGAACCGGACCCTACTGTTGGTGGGTCTGGTCGGTTGGTCCGGATCGCATTGAGGGTCCGAAGAATTATTTCGTGAGATAGAGAGCGACCAAAAGTGACCGAACTCTACTGTTCAGAGTCCGGACCTAGGGACCAGACCCGGTCTAGAGGAGAAAATTGTCTCGAGGTACTCTCTAGAAGTGATCGGACCCTGCGTTGTGCAGCGACCGGACTCTAGCTGGCGAGTCTAGTCCAAAGCTCTCTGTGTGTGCGCATGCACGTTCGGATGCAGCTGAGAAGGGGACCGGACCCTATGGTCTGAGTTTGGTCTAGAGTGTTTCAGCACGAGGTGATGTATCCATTGGAGATCAGCTGCCGTCGTTGAATGGAGTGAACACGTGGCAGCATCTGGTGGACCGGACCTGCGATGATGGTCTGGACCAGACTCTGAGTTAGGGTCTGGTCGACCCGTAGTGAAGCCAATGAAGGGGTATAACGGCTCTATTCTTTTGGGGGATCTATAAATACTTGTTGGCTGGCTCTAGCTCATTCTCTTGGACATTTTGATCATCCATACACTTATTTGAGCAGAATCAAACTTCTCCCACTCAATTTATTGCTTAATTGTGCATCCAAGTGAGTTGGGATTGATCCAAAGTGCATTTGCTTGAGTGATTGCATCTAGTGGCACTTGGGGATCGTTCTAGCTGTGGTTTTCTTGTTACTCTTGGTGTTTGCCGACACCTGGTTGGCTTGGAGTAGTTTGAGGAGGTTGGCATGAGTTGGTGATTGTTTGTGGCCATCTCTCTGTGGATTTGTGAGGGGTTCTTGACCTTTTCCTGGTAGAGAGCCAAAATGTACTCTAGTGGATTGCTCGTAGCTTGTGGATCCTCATCTTGTGTTGGTTGTGTGGCACCCAATTGTGGGTTAGATGTGTGATGCCTATTAGTGCTTGAACCACCAAGTGAGTGAATCACTACAACGGAGACGTAGCTTGCCGACAAGCAAGTGAACCTCGGAGAAAAAATCATTGTGTCAATTGGTATTTATTGTGATTGATTTTTTTGCTTGCCTAGCTCGGTATATTCCTCTCTACCTCACCCTTGTATTGACTTTCATATATTTGTGTAGTGGTAGTAGTGGTAGTTAGTGTAGTAGCTAGTTAGTGTTTAGCTAGAAGTAATTAGCTCTTTACCTTGTTCTAGCTAGTTCACTAGTTTAGCTAAGTAGCAACCTAGCCATTGTGTGCCTAGAGACTTTACTTAACTAGAATTGTGGATAGGTGGCTTGCAACCTATTGTGGGGTCGGAACCACGACAAGCATTGTTGTTCGAGTCGGTGTCAGAGTACGTGTCTGCGATGGCTCGGGTGGACTGAAGAACATAAGAATCATAGAGAGGACGCAACGATTTATCCTGGTTCAGGCCAATCGATGCCCTACGTCTAGCAGCTGATGATCCTTATACTTAAGAGCACCCAAAATCGGGGGGTTATAGTAGAGTGTATAGGAGGAGAGAGAGATTTGGTAGGGGGTTAGCTCGGTGCTAATCCTAGATTGCCTCACCGCTGGTG